AGGACAACTTGGGTCTTGCCTTCTACGATGTGGATTCTAGGGATTGAACTCAGGTCATCAGGTTTGGTGGCAAGCCTCTATCTCATGAACCATCTTGCCAGTCCTTTTCTTTAGATATTTGAATCATAGTGCCTGTAGTTTATTTTCAAGTGAGACTCAAACTGAGTCTAATTGAAACCACATTTTCTCTGTTGAAATAAAACAGGATCAAGTTGTGTTCACCGTGTCCCTACCATCCTTTCCCTTCCTCTCAGAATTGAACCCAGAACCTCGTGCATATTAGGCAAGTGATCTAATGCTGAGCTGCATCCCAGCCCAAGTGCTGTTTTCTTTTACTTGTTTCTGAAGCAATATTTTAACCTTTATTCTGATAAAATTTGAGTAGTTTATATTCATGGTTAATCCAAAGAAAATTCATGACTCAGAAAAGTTTGTATCTTATTTGGCCATTGTGAATAGTTTATGTGTCATTATCCTGACACCCCCGTAACTTCTATACTTCAATTTTTAGGGATGCTGATAATTCTGATTATACTATTCTTTTCAAACCAAAGAGCTAACGTGTAAAACAGCAAACTGGAAAGTGATACTCATTTCTTTGTAAACTTTTGGAGGAAGCCAGGTTTTTGACTTGCTCATCTATTGTAATGAAAACATCTCCAATTTAGGTAATTACACTGGAATGAAGATTTCTGTATGAACAATAAACATTGTAGCCATGCCATCAATATCTTGTTTTGCTAACCGAGTAGAAATTAGGCCTGATATGCTGGGATGCTTCAGCGAACAAGCACCCAAGGGTCCTCTATGACTGCATGGCTGGTACAGAATGAAGAAAACCAATGCCTCCCAGGGTCTCCTTCTTTCCTTCCTTTTCCCCCCATGGGAACAGAGCTGAAAGTCTGCGTTCTTTTTTTTTTTTTAAATCAGCTCTAGAAATTCAGTCTACAGCTGTAGATTATGTGTAGCTCCTCATCTCTTCCAGGCTGGCTGGCCCTAGTGGAGGAATGATGCTGGCTGTTGACATTTGATAGGAATACAGGACAGCCACCTGCTCAGCCATTTCCATAAGCACTGACCCCATGCCCATTAGCTCAGATCTCTCACTCGTTTTACAGTATCTCCTACTTGGAGCTGTGGTTGTTGATATGATGTGGGGCTTGGCTGAGGCATGGTTCTGTCCTCCAGGACAGGCCTCACTGAAGGGGCCCAGAACAGTGCACTCTCTCTCTCCTTCCTACCTCCTTCCCTTCGCCCTTCCTGGTCTCTCCCTCACTTTTCTATTAGATTGAAGTCCCAGTTAAATCCTGGTTATCTGGTGGATTTGTTCTGAATCATAAATTGAGATAGAATGTCTTAGTCTTTTCTGTTAATTTTGTATATGAACAGTAAGAAATTGCTCTGTGACCCTTGATTGCCTTTGAAAATGAAGCGTATATAATATATTCTTTTCAAAGTTATATAAACTATACATGGTATCATCAAAGCCAGGGCTGTAGTCTATGCATACATCATGATGTCTCTTCCCTGGGTTCTCCTCTAGTCGTTTCAGAGTTTCTGGTCTTCTGTTAAAGTCTGTGAATGACTTTGAATTGATTTTTGTGCGGGATCAGAAGTACGGATCTAGTTCACTCTTTTACATGTGGTACCTACCTTCCTTAATACCACTTATTGAAGAGGTATTATTTTTCCAAAGCGCATTTTGGGCACTTTTCAAAAAATTTAAAGTATTTATTATTTATTTATTTATTTATTTATTTATTATGTGTGTATGTGTATGAATGTGGGCGTGGACACCACGACATACATGTGTAGGAGGACTTTTGGGACTTGGTTCTTTCTTTCCACTGTTCTGGGGTTTGAATTCAGGTTTTCAGGCTTGCATGTGCTTTGACCTGCTGTGCCACTTTGTCTAACTCTTGTTGAAAATTAGGTGCCTGTAGTGTGCATTTATTCTGGTTACCTAGTCCATTCCGTTCATATATTTGTCTCTTTTTAGGCCAGTACATTGTAGTGTTGGTTACTATGGCTCTGTAGTTCAATTTGAGATCAGATATAGTGAATCCTCCAGCATTATTTTTATCTGTTTAGGATTATGTTGGCTCTTTAGGATCTTCTGTATTTCAATATGAATTTTCAGA